AGAACTTCTAAGACACAACCTTGCAGCATGCCAGTATTTAAGGTGGAGGAAGAGGAATTGCCAAAGGAGACCAAGAAGGAGTGATCGATCAGAGAAGAAGGAGAAAAACCATCTATGTTGCTGGACTGGATGGTCTTTAAGGCCTCACTCAGTCTGATATTCTGTGGTCCCACAGAGCTGGCATCTGAGACAGGTCTCGGAAGCAGAGCACATGGATAGGCGATGAGAATAGGGAAGGGCATTCCAAGTAATATTACTGTAATGTTACTGTATCAGCCAAGGTCCCAACAAGAAACAGAGGACATACGCAGTCTGGATAATTTGAGGGGATTTTAATAAAGAGGCTATTTACAAAGATGTAGGGAGGGTTTAGGGAATCCAACAAGGCAGCAATCTGGCTCTAGCCACACAAGAACCCTTCACCACCCCCAGGCCTGAAGTCAGCAGAGGGAGGGCAGCTGTACAGAGAGGGCTGCCTGAGAGGAGATGTGGCCTCTGGACCCAGCCTCCCTCTCCCCCTGTCCTCCAATGTCCTGGCGCCTCCTGTTGGCCAAACAGAAGCCAGAGAGCAAGGGAGCCCCTTGATGCAATGTAAATTGATCATCTTCCTGGGGCACAGACCAGGGTGGGGGTGTGGATGTAGAGGGGAAAACAAGATAGCCAGAACAATTATCTTGGAAAATGGAAGTGCAAGAAAGTGTATTAGTTTTCTGTTGCTGCTTTCACAAATTCAGTGGCTTAAAACGATTCAAATTTATTATGTTGCGTTTTGGAGGTTAGAAGTCCAAACCAGGTTTCACTGGGCTAAAATCAGTGTGTCACCAGGGCTGCATTCCTTCCTGAAGGCTCTAGGGGGGAATCTATTTCCTTGCCTTTTCCAGCTTCTAGAGGCTGCCCACATTTCTTGGCTCTTGGCTCCTTCCTCCATCTTCAAAGCCAGCAATGGCATCATTCTGACCCTCTCCTTCTATCATCACATCTCCTTCTCTGATTCTTCTGCCTTCCTCTTCCATCTTTTAAGAGCCCTTGTGATTACAACGGGCCCACCCAGATAATCCAGGGTGATCTCCCTATTTTAAGATTCTTAATCACTCCTGGTCCCTTTTGCCATGTAAAGTAACATATTCCCATGTTCTGGGGTTTAACAGGAGGACATAATTAGGGGCCCATTGTTCGCATACCACAGAGAGTGAATAAACCATTTTGACTGGAAGGGAGGGCTCCCTAGGAAAGTAATGAAGAGAGAAAACAGGAAGTGCAGATCAAAGTCAAATTATGGAAGCTTTGGATGCTAGCTGTCTGAATTTCATTCTGTAGACAAGAGGGAGCCATTATAAGTCCTTAATCAGGGAAGTGGCTTGTTAGCATTATTAAGGAAGATGATTCATCGTGGTGCTCTGGGCAGCTTAGAGGGAAGAACAGAAACCTTTCAAGATGCGATTAGAGTAGTCTAGGTCCTAAGGAACAAAGGTCTAAAACAGGAGTGAGAGGAAGGGATGATGTGAAAAGTGCTGTGCGGTAAGATCTACAGGAGGTGCTCGCCAACTGGACATGGAAAGAAGGCGAAGAATCTAAGGCTGGTCTGAGTTTTGGAAGTGAGTGACTAGTAGATTAATGGTATGCTCTAGAAAATCAAGAGAGCAAGTCTGTTTCAGGGGAAGATGAGGAGTTGAAGTGTAGTTTTGGAATCCTGCAACAGAAATACAAATAGAATCTTATCAACTCTAAGACACCATCAATTGTAAAACAAACCAATATTTTCTATATCACTAAGAAAAAAATGCTGCCAGTTAAAATATGACACATGCCTTCTTAAAAATATAATTTTTACTTTATTGAAAGAGATGTTTTAGACTTACACTAGATTTTTAAAAATCTTTTAATTGACGTAGAATAAATTGCACGTATTTAAAGTGTACAGTTTGATAAGTGTTGACATATGCAGGCACCTGTGAAACCATCACCACAATCAAGGTAGTGAACATATGCAAAACCCGCAGAAGTTTCTTCTTGCCCCTTCGCAATCCCTCCCTCCCCCGCGTCTCTCCCATCCCTAAGCAACTACTGATTTGCTTTCTGTCGCATAGATCAGTTTACATTTTCTAAAATTTTAGATAAATGGAATCATCCTGTATACATTCTTTGTGATGTGGCTTCTTTCGTTCAGTATAATTATTTTGAGGTTCGTCCATGTCCTGTGTGTATCAATAGTCTGTCCCTTTTTCTTTCTGAGTAGGCTCCATTATGTGGATATACCACAATTTGTTTATCCATTCACCTACTAATGATCATTTAGGTTGTTTACAGTTTTTATCTATTACAAATAAAGCTGCTATGAATATACATTGATTTTTTAAGTCATATGTCACCCCTGTGCATATATAAAAAGGGGGAATGCAAGTGAAATGAATTGATTAATATTCTTAAAACTTCTTCACGTTCAGAGTCCAAGTTTTTGAATCACTTTTTGACTCATAGTCATCGATGTCTGTTTTTTTCCCACACAATATCTCCTCTTTGCCATCAAGAGTGGTAATTAAAAAAAAAAATCTGTAAAAGAACTAAAAGGCATTGATGCTGGGCTCTTCAGCCCACTCTGTTATGTGGAACTGGCCTAGTCTGGACCTTCCTTTGGGAGTGTTGCTAAACATACCTGAGTCACCACCTCCCTCACTCCCTCCCCACTAGGTTTTAAAAGAGCGTTCCACTCTCTTTAAAAGTTCCTGGGATTTTTTCCAAATCGCTGATACCCATTCGGCTAGTTCTAAAGCTGGTGCTTTCAATATTTTATGCATATGTAGGCAATGACAAGCACACCTTGACTGCTGCTGAGCCAACAGTAATTATAGGACCATCAATTGTAAGACACATCTCAATTTCAGAATGTTAAGTGTGGGAAACTGTGCAGCTTAGAATCCATTAAGTAGATTAGTTCAACCAAGTCATTTGGTGGCTAAAAGCCTGGCAGATTGAGATCCTTGTCCAGTGTCACATGATAAATTAGTAGTGGCTGGGACCAGAACAAAGTGTACACGATCCAGTTGGTTTCTCTGACTTTAGTGGGGTGGGTTTTGTTTGTTTCTTTTACTTCACTATGGCAACTGAAGCTTAAAAGAAGGTAGGCTAATGAAAGGGAAAGAGAGTTACATTGTTTGTGGAAAAGACACCTAAATAGAAAACCACAAACTTGAACATGGTGGGCAGTTGAATTAACAAGGGGAGGGGAGCAACATTCTAATAGCCCTTCAGTGGCCCACTGCAACTGGTCTCTTTCCATGCCCATTCTTACCATTTGAATTACCTTATTAAAAAACAGAGCTTCTCAGATCATTCCTCTACTTTAAAAATTTGTGGTGGCTCCCCATCTCCGACATAATAAAGCCCAGGTTCCTTGGCAAGCCATATAGGGAAGACCCTTCACAAATGTCTTTTCCTTGTCTTTAGTTCTTTCCTCTCTCCACCCCCATCCTCCCCTCTAGCCACACCAACCATTCGCCAACATATCATGTACTTTCTTATCTTATGCCTTTGTTTAGACTGTGCCCTTTTCCCGGAATGACCCTTCCCACACGTCTACCTCATGGCCTCTTCCTTCAATCCTCAAACTCAACCTCTTCTTCATAGTCTCCCCTGACATCCCACCCCCCATCCAATGACTATTTCCTCGTGTGTTTTTAAACCTACTTTATACGTTACTTCTCTTATAAGACTTATCAAGTGGCATTATCCCTATTTGTGTGTCTCACTGAGCTGTAATCTCCTTGAGGAAGGGGTCATATCTTATTTATCTTTGTATTCCTGGTTTCTAGAACTGTGCCTGGCAAATAGTAGGTATACAGCAAATATTAATTGCCGTGAAAGATCTGATTGATGTTAACACCTCCTAAGGAGAAACATACTCAGTTAAGTACATTGCTATTTCCTAAATGCAGTGTTATCTTGCCAGGGAAGATGTATAAAATCCTCTGCAAGGAGGAAGGCATTGAGTAAAATTTTCTCTTTAATGGAAGTTTAGGCAAGAGGGCATAAAAAAAGGGGGTTGTGGAGTGGGTCCGGTGGTGTAGTGGTTAAGTTCTCACGCTCAGCTTCGGTGGCCTGGGGTTTGCAGGTTTGAATCCTGGATGTGGACCGACGGCACCGCTCATCAAGCCAAACTGTGGCAGTGTCCCATATACAAAATGGAGGAAAGGCTGGCACAGACGTTAGCTCAGGGCCAATCTTCCTCAAGCCAAAAGAGGAAGATTGGCAACAGATGTTAGCACAAGGCCAATCCGCCTCACCAAAAAAGCGGGGGGGTTGAAAGGAGAATGGATGAGGGGAATAAAGAATTAGGGAGGATGGCTAAAGAAACAAAGAGGAAATGGGACTAGAAAGACAGTGGGAGATGAGGAGAGAAGAAAAGAGAGGAAAGAAGTGCAGAGAGTGATGATGTAGCCAGGATTTTAGGATCTTCCTTAGTTTAATTGCAGGAGAGTTACTGGACAATGCTTTCTCACATGAACGTTCCAACCCTCTTTCCTGAATGAACCCCATTTTGTATTCTTCACATCACTCTCTCCCTGAAAAGACACAAGTGTGCTTCTTACAACTGCCTGACAATCAGTGCTTTGTTCTTCATTGTTTTCTCTGGAAAGCTGGAGGAGGCAGAGTAGTTTGGTGGAAAGGCTACACTGGGAATCAGAAGGCCTGGCATGTCCCAGTTCTGGGCCTCAAGCAAGGCACTTAGCCACCTTTACCAGAATCTTCATCTGTAAAATGGAATGTTAACATCTGTCCAGGCTTCCTTTCCAGGTTGTTGTGATGATCTAAATAAGTGAAATAATACATATGAAAACACTTTGTAAGCTGTCAGGTTGCTCTGCAAATGAAGGTAATACTACCTTTTTGTTGAATTATTCGTCCAGTAGAGAGACTCCGTGGGCAGATAACTTAGCCTTGTCTCCTGATAATAAGTCCTGTTTGCAGAAAGGAGATAATAGTATTTTTTCTTATTAGTAGTATTCTGAAGTCTCGGCAAGCTGGCCCATTTAGATGTTCACGGCCCATGAGGAAGGCATGTAAGAAGCCATGGCGCTCCCTTTTCAGAAAGAGCTGGAGAAATACAAGAACATTGATGAAGATGAGCTTCTTGGCAAACTCTCAGAAGAGGAACTGAAACAGTTGGAAAATGTTCTCGATGACCTAGATCCCGAGGTTAGTGTCCTGGGACTGAGCAGCGCGGTTAATGATAGTATGGGATAAATGGTGTGCTTGATCCTTAAACAGTAGTGTAGGAATCCCTTAGCTCCAAATGCAAATTCTGTGTTCTTCTCCTGATTGGTTCTGGGTCACTGACTTTTACAAATTCATGGAGAACCTCAATAGCCACATCTATAATATGATATGGCAAATGTATTTCCCATATACTAGTTTAATGTAACTGGGGAAAAACATTTCCTATGGGTTGAGTAGAGACTGGTCTCACATAGGGAAGAAGAAGGAAAGAGGGAAAGGGAACAAATCTTACCGAGTTTCTTCTGAGTCATACACTCTGCTGGGCACAGAAGCCCTTGAGGTGAATTGTATTATCCCCACTTCGTAAATAAGGAGACAAACTAGGAGAAGTAATGTACCTAAGACCCCATAATAGTAAATGTCAGAGATGGTATTTAAACCCAGTCTTTAACCCCAGACGCAGATCTTTTTTATATCTTATTTCTTTAAAATGCATAAATAACTTGAAATCTTTGGTGATCCTATAACAACGTATCAATTAGAATAACTGTAATCATAATCTCAAGTACGTTTAAGTGGAGCTTCTAATATTTTAATAAAAGCTACGTAGCTGTTGCAGTGTTTGTTTAGCAACCAGTTTCTTCAGCTCTGTTGGTATTATCATAAACTTAGAATCAGAGGCCTCCAAAACGATCACTTTACTGTAAATAAAAATGTCACTAAATATTACTTGTATGATATTCTGATGTGCCAGATACTTTGTATGTTGTGTTTACTTTAAAAAATATAAGTATTCTGTTTTTATTTTTTATTTATTTTTTTTTAATTTTTTATTTATTTATTTTTTCCCCCAAAGCCCCAGTAGATAGTTGTATGTCATAGTTGCACAGCCTTCTAGTTGCTGTAGGTGGGACACGGCCTCAGCATGGCCGGAGAAGCGGTGCGTCGGTGCGCGCCCGGGATCCGAACCTGGGCCGCCAGCAGCGGAGCGCGCGCACTTAACCGCTAAGCGACGGGGCCGGCCCCTGTTTTTATTTTTTAAACTGAAGGGATTTCTTTTTTTTTTTTTAATTTTTTTAAAGATTTTATTTATTTATTTTTCCCCCCAAAGCCCCAGTAGATAGTTGTATGTCTGCACATCCTTCTAGTTGCGGCCTCAGCATGGCCGGAGAAGCGGCGTGTCGGTGCGCGCCCGGGATCCGAACCCGGGCCGCCAGCAGCGGAGCGCGCGCACCTAACTGTTAAGCCACGGGGCCAGCCCTAAACTGAAGGGATTTCTAAGCTTAATCAAGCAGGTATCAATGTCTACCATAATATTCACTTACCTGCTTGGCTGCTTCCCCAGGAGAGGGGATAGAAATAAGAGAGTGTAGCCATATTGGCTCCTTGTTAGTCTCCATAGAGTCTCCCTGCCTGGGAGCACCTTAGGTGCAGACCTGGTCAAACCTAAGTGTGAGCCACGAGGAAAGAGGCCGTCAAGGATGGCTGGCCTTTTGCCGCCACATTCTAGAAGGCAGCTGCAGAAGACTCAGAGACTACTCTATGTTCTGCCTGAGCTCGTTGGGAGCCCTTTTCTCAGCACGGGATGATAGAGCAAGTAGGGCCTCAGAGACATGCCAGAGACCCCAGCCCTCAGCTCACACCCACATCTCTGCACAGGTATCCTTCTTCCTGCCTCCCCCATATACAGCAGGTGAGGGGAGGAGGCAGAGGGAGGGAGGTAACAAAGTATCAGTCAGGCAGACGCCTTCTTTCCCACCCACACCTCTGTCTTGTCAGAGTGCGATGCTGCCAGCTGGATTCCGACAGAAAGACCAGACACAGAAAGCAGCCACTGGCCCGTTTGACCGTGAGCACCTCCTCATGTACCTAGAGAAGGAGGCTTTGGAACAAAAAGACAGGGAAGACTTTGTGCCCTTCACTGGAGAAAAGAAAGGTAAGGACCACAGGGAGTATGTCTTGGGACAGAGGTACTCCTAATGTGCTGTCATGGAGGGTCGAGCAAGGGAACTGACCTGAATGTGGAAAATCAGCCCATGAACTGGATTTACTGTTAAAAAGAATCATGGTTGGTGGATACATGTCAGTACGTATTTGTCCAGACCCACAGAATGTACACCACCAAGAGTGAACCCTAATGTTAACTATGGACTTGGGTGATGATGTCGACGTAGGTTCATCGACTGTAACAAATGTACCACTCTGCTGCAGGGTATGTTAGAGGGGGAGGTTGTGAGTGTGGGGGGCGCAGGGTATATGGGAACTGTCTACTTTCCTCTGTAAACCTAAAACTGCTCCAAAAAATAAAGTTTATTAATTAAAAAAAAGAATCATGGCAGAATATATAGGCTAATTAAATGAATAGAGTGTAATGGGATTGTGTCTCTCTTGCATCCTGGCACAGGAGAGGCACTCAATAAATATGGATTTGGATGAATGTCATCTCTGAGCTTCTATATGTGGCCTAGGAGAGCAGGAGGTCGCTCCTCAACTGGCGCGAGTCAGGGCACTGCTGCCTTCTCTTATGCAGCCTGCTGCCTCTCCTCTGAATCGTGTACATTCGATGGATCATGCACCACCAATAATATCATCTTATTAAGAAAGTAAAGTTAAACAGTGACAAGTTGGGCAAATAACCAAGGATTACCATAGAAATATGGAGCTGTTTCTATGGCAGCATAGTCCCTATTGGACTAATTTAGTTGTGAAAGAAAAAAATAAATTATAATGTCAAATCTTCAGTAAAATCCCAATTAGCATCCAGTATTAGGGTAGTGAGAGAATAGTAAGAAGAAACCTGTTGTCTTCTGTTCTCAGAGTAGATGTCTGAGGAGTGGCAATGGTAAATTAGCTCTTGATCTAGATTAGTCTGCAGATGGTTCATGGGGGAGTTAGGAATGCAAAAGCAGTCTGAGTAATAAATGGGGGATACAAAAATGGTGTAAAGTTGCGCAGTATAGCTTAGGAGAAGGTTGAGAAGCAGCACAATTGAGCAAAATGAGTAGAGAGGAAGTTTTCCAAATAGAGCAGAGGGATCAGGGTGGAGTCTACAGGGCCCCTGGAAGGACGAGCGGATGATCTAGGAGCAGTGGGAGGCGGTCGTGAGGGCCTCAGGAGACGGGCCACACAACCTCAGTTCTGAATGCCATGTGCCCTGGGCACTCAGTTCCTGGGCTACCTTTGCTTCTGCACTGCAGCTCTATTCACTTAGAACTTGCTGTCTGGTTGGCCCCACAGGAATGGATGTGCAGCAGCAGTTGTCCTGAAAGCTGGTAGCTGAGGGCCACCCGTGCACCTAGTGTTTAGAGTAATCCTAACAGTACTGGCAAGGAGGAACTTAGAAGCCCATTTTGACTCTGGACCCAAGATCATCTGAGCCAGAAAGAAAATGCTTCAGGCTACATATACTATGAAAATTAAGTCTGGGATGAGCCCCAGTATCTGAGATGTTATAGATTGCTTGATTTTTTTTTTTTCACTTTCTATCTTCTAGCCATTCTCCCGTTTGTTTCCCAGTGTATTTTCCTTGTGTCTGGGAAATGTAGCAGCTTATGTGATGTCGAGGCAGGAAGCAGGATGATGGTCAATGGTGGTGACCTTGTGGCCAGGATGCCCAAGTCTGACCACAAGCAGTGGTGCCTCTTGGGGTGCCCAGCTCTGCCTGGACCCTGTTTACTTATTCAACCATTTGAAGATCTGGTAAACCATCAGGAAGTAGGCAGCCCCTGTAACTAGGACGTCTCCTGGAGAGTTTTCATGAGAGAGAGTTACTGACTTTGGGTTTGACTCTTCCTTTCCCATGGGAGTGGGGAAGGGCAAGCTAGCCAAGGAGTTCTGGACAGAGCTTGGGTCCCCATTGGCTCAAGCTGGAGCCAGCTATCTATTCTACCCAAGGTGACAAAGAGAAGGCAACGGAGGTGTCTTTAGGGAACTCCAAAGATAAAAATGGAGGAGATCAATTTCAAAGATCATGCCAAGAAGTAAGAACAGCTCCAAAAAAGTGAGAAACCAAGAGTCAAAAGCCGGGAGGAATTGGGAAAGAGTGTGAGTAGGTCTGGAGTATTGCTACGGTGGCTCTGGAGTGTCCTGGGTTTACTTTTATGAGCCATTGCGTGTGTGGGATGCAGATGTGGTGGCCTGGCTGGAAGTTAGGAGCAGGTACCATGCCTTGTGCCATCCTCCCAACAATGTGACCATCAGTCCAGAAGTTTGGGCTGCAGAAGTTTGGGCTGCATAGATATCAACATATTCAGAAGTGAGTAGAGGGCAAAATAAATGGAATCTGACTGACAGGATGAAGTGGGAGATGGTGGCAGAGAATGCGTATGTGGGACACACAGAATTCCTTGCTGTTCACAGACCCCCACAATCTCTCTGACAACTCTGATTTTTCCTTTTAAATTAGGCTTACTTTGGTGTGCTCTAGAGAGGTGGCTTTGTCCCCAGGTCCCTACACTAGTTCAAGTGACCCTAGATATAGCATCTTAGTGATCTACAATCCCAATTTAAGGGGGAAAACTCTGGGGGATCACCAGTTTGTCCCTCAGGAACCCCTGGGGCAGTTTGGATGAATCTGCTCCCAATATTTGCAGGGGCCAAGGCACGAACACAAATAGAAGCCCACATACCATTTTTTATAATTATTTGAAAGCTAACAAACTGTTAAACTATGTTCCATCCTCTTGCAAATACACCTAGAAGACCATTACTCTTGGACTTCCAAAGTTCCACGCAGGGACATGGGTCCATCCTACACTGCTGGGGCTTCACACACCTGTATTTGACATCCCAGTCTACATATCCAAGCTTCTTCCATATCACCCACAGACAGCTTCCTCTTGGCAATGTGACCTGCTCTCAGGAGGATGGACATGGAGAAGGGACTTATGCAGGTCCTGGAAGCAGACTCAGGGCTCTTTGGGCAGGAAATTCCAGGGTCCCAGGTGCCTGGAGTGTGGTCCAGCAGGTGGCCTGTATTCTGGATGGGAATGTTCCCTTGGCCCCATAACCCCCCCTTCAGTGGGTTGGGGGGAGGAGGTAGATTACAGCAGATGAGGGCCATGGCAGGAGGAGTCGGGAGGCCCATGGCAGGCCCCTCTTGTCCGGGTCTAAGGGCAATGCTGCTGATCTCTGTGTTGCAGAATACAGGATTTCCCCTCTCACTTTCCTTCCCTCTAATAGTCTGATAGTGGATTATTGATATTGGCATCATCCCAGCAATTAAGGAATCCCAGTTGGATGTGCAATGGCTTAATGATTCAGCTCTTAACGGCCAGAGCTGCATTGTCCAGTCAGTCTGCTTACACTACAATAAGGCAGCAGCGCACAATGGTTTTTGTTTGTCTTCTGATTTAAAGGGAGAGTCTTTATCCCCAAAGAAAAGCCCATAGAAACCCGTAAAGAAGAAAAAGTCACTCTTGACCCAGAACTGGAAGAAGCTTTGGCCAGCGCCTCCGACACTGAACTCTACGATCTTGCAGGTTAGTCCTCGGCTCTGGGAAACTTTCCTGTCTGGCTCTGTGACCTCTAGACGCGCACTGGCACCCATGGCAGCAGCCTTTGAGTCTCTCCCTAGCTAGTGATTATGATTGTAATTCCAGGTTGGCTTCAGCCATTGTGTAGCTGTAAGACTTGATGCAAGCGACTTAACCTCTCTGAGCAAACATTTTGCTGTATCTCAGCTCTAAAATGTAAAACCACATCTCGGGTAAGATGCCCGAATACTACCCATCCTACAAAACTCAAGAGTTTGAGAAATCAAAGAGAATAAAGAATGGGCCGGCCCCGTGGCTTAGCGGTTAAGTGTGCGCGCTCTGATGCTGGCGGCCCGGGTTCGGATCCCGGGAGCGCGCCGAGGCACCACTTCTCCGTCCAGCGCGAGGCCGAGTCCCACGTACAGCAACTAGAAGGATGTGAACCTATGACGTACAACTATCTACTGGGGCTTTGGGGGGGAAAACTGAATAAATAAAATCTTAAAAAAAAAAAAAAACCAAAGAGAATAAAGAAGAAGGAGTGTTGAAAACTTAAACAATAAATTAACAGCCCTTATGCTTTCTAAGGAGCTTTCACATTTGGCATTTTATCACATTTTATCATCACCAAATTTCCATAAAGTTCTTGCTCTTTCCCACAGTCACTGTTCGATTTTGATTCCCACTAAGAGGTCTGTTAGCCTAACCAGGGAGCAGGAGTAATCTACTGTTACATTCACCCTGTAAGGTAAATCCATATGCAGCCCAATCTGCTCATTTTTTTCTAGTTTTCTTAACAATAACAATAATATAATAATTATTATTATTTGAATTGGTTATACATGCAGATAGAAAAAGGCCAAATAGTACAAAAGAAAATGTAATGAAAGGTCTCTCACCCTAGTTACCCAAGCCTCCTCCCATTTCTTGTATATCCTTCAAGAAGGATTCTATGCATATACCTGCATGTTTGTGCACTAATGGGATGCATTTTTTTCCAAATGGGATGGAAATTTGGATTATTAGGGTCATTGGCTCACCACAGGATAGAGGTGCTTTAAAAAACAGTCCATAACTTTAGCAAGAATTCTCACATTTTTATTCCATTGAAAGACATATGTAATAACAATCTCCTTCCTCCCAGGAGAACCAGCTATGCCTTATTCTAATACCATGCCAGCCATTCAGCTGCATGTTCATTTCTTCCGGGATAATGATATCAGTGGTCCATATGAAGTTCACATATTCAAACCCGTCTCAGAAGTCACTGCAGGAGTTGAGGTACCTGCATCACAGAGTTAAGAAGGTGCTTTGAGGCCGGCCCTGTGGCTTGGTGGTTAAGTGCGCGCGCTGCGATGCTGGCGGCCCGGGTTCGGATCCCGGGTGCGCATCGAGGCACCGCTTCTCTGCCCATCCTGGGGCCGAGTCCCACATACAGCAACTAGAGGGGTGTGCAGCTATGACATACAACTATCTACTGGGGCTTTGGGGGCAAAAAATAAAAAATAAATAAAATCTTAAAAAAAAAAAGGTGCTTTGAGGTGACCAGTATTCTTAGCCTTGTGGTTACTGTCGAGGGCTCTGTTATGGTTACTGCTCCTCCCAAGGGTTGCCTCATAGTCTCTACTGGAATTTCCCAAAGGGAGAATGCAGAGCTGGGCTTGTATTCCCAGGAAATGCCTAAGAAAGGAGGAAGAGAAAATTACCAATCATTTGGAGAATACTAGATCCTGAAATTCATACAGTAAAACCAGGGGGATAATCCCAATAGAAAACTGTCTTGTTCATCTTTACTCAGCCTCCCTCCTTCATCCAGTCCTCCCTCAGGACTCAGGAGGAGGCCCAGCTGGGGGTGAGTGTCAGCATTTTCTCTAGGGTGGCTCTTTCTGGAAGATAAGAGCAGCCCCATGAGCGGGTCGGCTGGCAGGCTTTGAGGTTTAGATAAGAAAGAGTGTCAATGCCCTGCCCATGTTACTGGGCAGATCCGGAGCAGACACACAGTCCATCAAGGGAGCAGCAGTTGACCTCCAAGACAGCACCTTCCAGAGTGGCTGTATCTCAGTATGGTCACCACCCAGAGTCTGGTTCTCAGCTCTGGTCTAGAGATTTGATCTTGTCAGTGCACATAGGAGCAGTCAGATTGGGGCCACGTGGTAGGCACTGACCCACTAGTCAGATTCACAGGAAACAGATAAAACAAAAATTAAAACTTGGCAATGGGAACCAAATTATAATTAGAAGTTGCTTAGTAAGTATGGGGCCAAAGCAAGATATGTTTGTTGGATGGTCTCAGTGGCCTGTGCTTATCAAATAGGGCATCTTCTCCCTAGACAATGCCAGAAACACAGTGACAAATTCTTATTTATTTAACAAGAATTTGTAAAGCACTTAGAACAGTGCCTGACACATGGGAAGTCATTTAATCTTTGTAATAGGTAAAGCATAATTATTATCCCTGTTTTACAGATGGAGAAACTGAGGCTCGGAGGCATTTAGTAACTTCTCAGGTCACACAGGTGGTACCTGACAGAGTCAGGATTCAAACTCTGACTGCTCCTGAGTGCCACTCTTCACCCCTAGACTTTCTGGCTCTAAACATTGCCCTTTCTCATGTGGCTGGCTGCCCCCCTCCTTCTAATATGTAGATTACAGGACAGCTGATGAGGAGCTCAGAGGTGCGCCTCTGCCACCTGTTCACAGGTTATCTGTTCCGGGATCCTTCTCCAAGTGGCCACCTGTAATTTCTCGCGTGTAATTTCATTAGCAAAGGGAAAGCTGGGTGGGCAGGTGCAATTTCAGCCTGCCCAGTGTTCTTTCTCCCCTGGTGCTGTTTCTTGCATACTGTGCTGCCTCCTGGTGCAAGTTCCATGTAATACAGGAGACTCAAAATCTCAGCATGCTTCTCTGACCTTTTCTTGCTGACATCTCTTCTTTTATTTTTTTTATTTATTTTATTTTTATTTATTTATTTATTTATTTTTCCGCAAAGCCCCAGTAGATAGTTGTATGTCATAGCTGCACATCCTTCTAGTTGCTGTATGTGGGACGCCGCCTCAGCATGGCCGGAGAAGCGGTGCGTTAGTGCGTGCCTGGGATCCGAACCTGGGCTGCCAGCAGCGGAGCGCGCGCACTTAACCTCTAAGCCACGGGGCCGGCCCAACAATCTCTTCTTTTATTTGCCACCTTGGGATGCTCTAGACGGGGAAAGGATAGTCCTTTTGGGACTGAGAGATGGGAGAGACCTCTTACACTGAAAGAGGCCCGTGATCTTTCTGCTGTATGCCTCCAGAAAAATAGGTGCCATAATCTATATAATGTTAGATCTTAAAATAGCCTTAGACTCAGTCCTATGCTCACCTTTTACAGATGAGAAAACTGAAGGCTTCAATCTACTTAACTAGGGGGTCCAAGCAGATTTTCAGTAATTGGGGATATAACTAGACCATCAGCCAGCCCTAGTGGTCTAGTGGTTAAGATTCGACGCTCTCACCACCATGGCTTGGGTTAGTTTCCCAGTCGGGGAACCACACCACCCATCTGTTGATTGTCATACTGTGGTGGCTGCTTGTTGCTATGATGCTGAAAGCTATGCCACCAGTATTTCAAATACCAGCAGGGTCACATGGTGGACAGGTTTCAGCAGAGCTTCCAGACTAAGACAAACCACGAAGAAGGACCTGGCCACCCACTTCTGAAAAGAGTGGTCATGAAAACTCTGAATAGCAGTGAAGCATTTTCTGATATAGCGCCGGAAGGTGAGAGGATGGCACGAAAAGACAGCGCAGGGTTCTGTTCTACTTTACACATGTCACTAGGAGTTTGGATCAGCTCGACAGCACTAACAACAAACCAGATCATTGTCCCTCAGAGCCTAAATGATTCCACATGTATGGATGTAGAAAGACGGGTGAAGATTGCTAGTGGTCTCGGAAGGGAGAGGTTTTTATAAGCTCATTTAGTGCTATACATGTACCACACACTATGAAAGGCAAGGGGGATCTGGAGACTTACCTTTATGATATGAAGAATTGTTCTTCGAGGGGCAAATTAACAGTGTGAACATCCTAACATGCCTTCCCAAACTTAATGTTCATTCACTGATTTTCTTTGCTTTCAGCTGTTCTTGGAGTACACAATTTGCTCAACAATCCAAAGTTTGATGAAGAAACAGCCAACAGTAAAGGTGGCAAAGGACCTGTGAGAAGTAAGTTGATGTGGAATCTGTGGTTTTGTGAAACTTGGGAGCCTCCAGGTGTTGCTGATAGGAGAGAGGCCTGTTGACTGGGCCTCCTACTGAATCCAGACTCTGTCACAGGCTTCGAAGGTGGGTTTTTGTCAGTTCACCAAGGATCATTGGACTCTGAGCAATCAAACCAGAATAGAGGGCCGGCCCCATGGCTTAGCGGTTAAGTGCGCGCGCTCCGCTGCTGGCAGCCCGGGGTTTGGATCCCAGGCACACACCGACGCACCGCTTCTCCGGCCATGCTGAGGCCGCATCCCACATACAGCAACTAGAAGGATGTGCAGCTATGACATACAACTATCTACTGGGGCTTTGGGGGAAAAAATAAATAAAATTAAATTAAAAAAAAAAAAAAACCAGAATAGAATGATCATGGGACCTCTGTCTGGCGGTGTTACTAGTACCAATCAGTGGGTTTTGCCCAGAACATACTCTCTTGGTAGGTCTGTTCAGTCAAAAGATCAAATTTCTGATAGAAAGGTTGCATAGTCAGCACAGAATGCAAACAGAGTTTCATGTTCCCAATGATGTTTTAATCAATTATCATGTCTTAGATAAGTTCCCTTCTCTATTTGATTGTCTTTTTGTCTCAATAATGGATGTGTGTCTTTAGAATTTGAATACCCACTTCCTCCAGAGAACACAAAAGACACACTGGCATGGACTGGCTGGCACAGAAAGTTCCAGATTACTGTCTTCTGTGTCAACATTTCCTGGAGAAGTGTACAGTTCATTAGATTCTCTCACTCATTCGTCAGTCATCTACTAAATACGTACTATGTGTCAGGATGTTCAAGGCTTAGGTACAAAGACAAAAGATGGCCCCTGCCCAAAGAAACTTATTTCTCTGTGGTAGGGATGGACTAATAATTAGGTAATTTTGGTATAGTGTAATCCAGATGCTATGAAAGCTCACAGAAGATCACAAATTTTCTAAGATTAATTATATTTTATTCTCTTTGATGGAGACTTGGGAGATGCTTTCTAGTCTCAGCAGCATATTTATAAACCATCGTTTATACTGGGTAATTTACTCAGACAATGAGCAATATTCCTTTTATTTTCTTTCTGGTTTCTTATGCATACAGATGAAAAATGTTCATCCTTTTTAACTTCAATATCAAAGGGTGACATTCTGACAACACGTTTGCTATTAAAAATCTGGTATATAACTATCCGGGCTTTTATACATACACATACATATGATTAACTTTTCTTTAAGGCTTTGGTTTTTTTAGAGCAGTTTTAGGTTCACAGCAAAATTGAGAGGAAGGCACCGAGATATCCCATAGAGCTCCTGTCCCTCCACATGGTTAGCCTCCCCCATTATCAACATCCTACACCAGAGTGGTACCTATGTTACAATTGATGAACCTACATTGACATGTCATTATCACCCTAAGTACATAGTTTACATTGGGGTTAACTGTTGGGGTTGTACATTCTATGGGTTTGGACAAATGTATAATGACATGTATCCACCATTATAGTATCACGCAGAGTAGTTTCACTGCCCTAAAATTCCTCTGTGCTCCACCTATTCATCTCTCCTTCCCCTCTAACCACTGATCTTTTTACTGTCTCCATAGTTTTGCCTTTTCCAGAATGTCGTATAGTTGGAATCATAGATTATGTAGCCTATTCAGACTGGCTTCCTTCACTTAGTAAAATGCATTTAAGGTTCCTCCAGGTCTTTTCATGGCTTGATAGCTCATTTCTTTTTAGCGCTGAATAATATTCCATTAACTGCATCTACCACAGTTTATTTATCCATTCAACTACTGAAGGACATCTTGGTTGCTTCCAAGTTTTGGCAGTTATGAATAAAGCTGTTATAAACATCATGTGCAGGTTTTTCTGTAGGCATAAGTTTTCAACTCCTTTGAGTCAATACCAAGGAATGTGACTACTGATCATATGGTAAGAGAATGTTTAGTTTTGGAAGAAAACTATCTTCCAAAATGTCTGTACCATTTTGCATACCCACTAGAGAAGTATGAGAGTTCCTGTTGCTCTGCATTCTCGCCGGCATTTGGTTTTGTCAGTGTTCCAGATTTTGGTCATTCTAATAGGTGTACAGTGGTATCTCATTGTTTTAACTTGCATTTCCCTGGTGACATATGATGTGGAGCATCTTTTCATATGTTTATTTGCCATCTGTATATCTTCTTTGGTGAGGTGTTTGTTAAGGTCTTTGACCCATTTTTTAATCAGGTTGTTTTCTTATTGTTGAGTTTTAGGTGTTGTTTATATATTTTGGATAACAGTCCTTTATCAGAAGTGTCTTTTACAAATATTTTCTCCCAATCTATGGCTCATTTCCTCCTTCTCTTGACAGTATCTTTCACAGAGTAGAAACTTAATTTTAATGAAGTCCAGCCTATCAATTCTTTCCTTCATGGATCACACCTTTCGTGTTGTATCTAAAAATTCATCACCAAACCAAAGGTCACCTAGATTTTCTCCTCTGTTATCTTCCAGGAGTTTTATAGTTTTACATTTTGGTCTGTGATTCATTTTGAGTTAAATAAAGGTGTAAGGTCTGTGTCTAGATTCATTTTTTTGGTTTTGGATGTCCAGTTGTTCCAGCACCATTTGTTGAGAAGGCGATCTTTTCTTCGTTGTGTTGCCTTTGCTCATTTGTCAAAGATCAGTTGACTATATTTATATGGATCTATTTCTGGGCTCTCTATTCTGTTCCATTGATATATTTGTATATTCTTTCACCAATACCACACTGTCTTGATTACTGTAGCTTTATAGTAAGTCTTGAAGTCAGGTAGTGTCAATCCTCCAACTTTGTTCTTCTCTTTCAGTATTGTGTTAGCCAACACAATTCTGGGTATTTTGCTTCTCCATATAAACTTTAGAATCAGTTTGTTGATATCTACAAAATAACTTGCTGGGATTTTTATTGAGATTGCATTGAATCCATAGTTCAAGTTGGGAAGAACTGACATCTTGACAATATTGAGTCTTCCTATTCATGAACATGGAATATCTCTCCATTTAGTTCTTTGATTTCTTTCAATAGAGTTTTGTAGTTTTCCCATATAGATCTCATACATATTTTGTTAGATTCATACCTATCTCATTTTTTATTAACTTTTTTTCATATTGTGGTTCTTTTATCAATACATGTAGGTTTACCTCATTCTTTTAATGAATAGCATCTATTATGTGATTGTGCTATAACTTATTTAACCATTTTCACATTGATGGACATTTTGTTTATTTACCATGTGTTGCTGTCACCAGTAATACATCAGTGAACATCCCTAAATATATATCTTTATGTATCAATGCTATTTTTTTCTGTAGATTAGGCTTCTAGATATAGAATTGCTGGGTCATAGAGTATCCACATTTTAAATTTTGATTGACAATACCAAATTACTCTCCCAAAAAGTTTGCACCAGTTCACATTCCCACCAACAATATATGAAGATGCCTTTTCCTCCACATTGTTGCCAGCTCTGAATGTTATCTCTTTTTACATTTTTTTGCTAGTCAAATGGTATCTCATTTTTTTTTTTTTTTTTGCTGGGAAAGATTCACTCTGAATCTGTTGCCAATCTTTCTCTCTCTTTTTTTTTTCTCCTCAAAGCCCCAGTACATAGTTGTATATTCTAGTTTTAAGTCCTTCTAGTTCTTTGTGAGCCGCCACCACAGCACGGCTACTGACAGACGAGTGGTGTGGTTCCATGCCTAGAAACTGAACCCAGGCCACTGAAGCAGAGCGTGCCAAACTTTAACCACTAAGCCCTCAGGCCTGGCTCTCATTTTTTATCTTAGAGTTTAATTACTTTTTATATTTTTTAGTTGGGTGACAGAAATTCTTCTGATCATATTACTTGTTCATTTTTAACTGGGTTGTCTTATTGATTTGTAGGAGCTCTGAGTGTGTTGGGATATTAACCTTTTATATGTAACATATATTGCAAGCATTTTCTGTTAAATACTTTTGAGAATTCTTCCATTCTTCTTTTCCATTCCTTTCTCTTCCCATACCTTCCTTAAAAGTAAAGCTCCAAAATGGAGATCAGAGGAGGGTAGGGTATGGTCAAGAAACCAGAGGAGTACTAAGGTTTTGGAAAATGAAGAGGCTCATCATTTCATTTTTGCATCTCACATCCTGTGGTTTGGTTATTATAGTCTGAAAGAGGTCCATATAGATTAGCAATAATGGCCCATGGATGTTCTTTTTGGGGTTTGAGTTTGCTCTAGGGCCTCCTCCAATGCAGTCTCAGCCACTGAGACTTCTCACTGCAGTTGAGAACCATCAACCTTTAAAACTGACTCAGAGCTGTACCATTCCCATGACTGCTTAGTTGAGAATAAGCTTACTGTCAGTGATATTAGGGTATTATTTGAATCAGAGCATATGAAAGAAAGGTCATTTTGGAGGAAGTCATCTCTGATTTTGACAGGAGAGCTCTTACATTTTCTTTTTAAAATTAAAACTTTTGTCTTAGATGTGGTCAAAGGTGAAAAGGTCAAGCCTATATTTGAGGAACCACCCAATCCCACAAATGTGGAAGTAAGTCTGCAGCAGATGAAAGCCAATGATCCCAGCCTGCAAGAAGTCAACCTCAACAACATTAAGGTATTTCATTATGATCCTTGTCAGTCACTTGATTTATCGTGAGTGCAGAAAACTTAATGGAGATAACTGATTACCTACTTTCACACCTCTTTGCAATCCTTTGTGTTACTGATTTTGAGGCAAGACATCCTACTCAAAAGAAAAAGTGGGGGCCAGCCCCGTGGCTTAGCGGTTAAGCACGCACACTCCACTGCTTGCAGCCCGGGTTTGGATCCCGGGAGCGCACCGATGTGCTGCTTCTCCGGCCATGCTGAGGCCGCGTCCCACGTACAGCGACTGGAAGGATGTGCAGCTATGGCATACAACTATCTACTGGAGCTTTGGGGGAAAAAATAAATAAATAAAATTATTAAAAAAGAAAAGTTTAGGGCCGGCCCCGTGGCTTGGTGGTTAAGTGAGCGCGCTCCACTGCTGGCGACCCGGGTTCGGATCCCGGGCTCGCACCGACGCGCTGCTTCTCCAGCCATGCTGAGGCCGCATCCCACATACAGCAACTAGAAGGATGTGCAGCTATGACACACAACTATCTACTGGGGCTTTGGGGGGAAAAAATAAATAAATAAAATCTTTAAAAAAAAAAAAAAAGAAAGAAAAGTTTAAAAAAAGAAAAAGTGGGTTTAAAAAAGAGTGATTTCTGAAATTCTTTGAAAAGAATCACAGTACTTGTGTTAAACATAGTGTATTAGTTATCTATTGATGAGTAACAAATTACTACAAAAATTAGAGGCTTAAAACAATAAACCTTTATTATTTCACAGTTTCTGAGTGTCAGGAATCAGGGAGTGACTTAGCTTGGTAGTTGTGGCTGTGTCTCAGATGAGGCTTTAGTGAAGCTGTCAGCCAGGGCTGCAATCATTTGAAGGCTTGACTGGGGCGGGAGGATCCACTTCCAAGATGGCACATCACGTAGCTGTTGGCGGGAAGCCTCAATTTCTTACCACATCGGCCTCTCCATAGGGCTGCCTGAGTGTCATGACAGCCAGCCCCCAGAGCAAGTGATTGAAGAGAAAAAGAGAGAGCAAGCAGAAAGCCACAATGCCTTTTATGACCTATTCTCTAAAGTCACACATCGTCACTTCTGCTTTATTCTACTTGGCAATAAGTCATGTCATTCTCAAAGGGAAAGGAAATAAGTGTGTGTGTGTGCGTGTGTGTGTGTGAGAGAGAGAGGGAAAAAAACACATTGCCTGACGTCTTGTTTTGTTCATTCTCGTTGGGCCAATTTCTAGCATTTAATAATAATGACTGACTTTTATTGAGTACTCAGTACATCTTTTGTTTAATACTCGAAATTCATTATCTCATTTAATCCTTATGGGACTTAAAGAGGTTAAGTTGTCCACTGTCACAGAGCTAGTCTGTGGCACATCTAGGACTCACGTCAACCTCTAGCTGTGCCGCATATTGTCTCCCTCTCCAGTGGTCAGTACTGTGCTAAGTGCTGTAGAAAGGAGACTAAGATGCATTCGGCCTTTATTCTGAAGAACTTATATTAGGAGAAAAACACTAAACAAATAATTACAACACGATGTGGTAAGCCCCCAACAGTTATGGAATTGTGGGTAAGGAAAAAGTTGATCCTGCCTAGGAGAGCCAATAAACAAAGGAGGGAGTATTTCAGCAGGGTCTTAAAAGGTGAGTGGGAATTAATCAGAGAAAAGTACAAAGGAATTTCCAGGCAAAGGGAAAAGCATATCTAAAGGTATGGAGGAGAGAAAGACCATGGCATATTAAAAGAATAACAAGTAGGTCAGTCTGCCTAGAATACAGAGAATGCAAGAGAAAAGGAGGGAAGTGTGGTTTGTGCATAATTTCTTGGTTAGGGTGAACAGAAAGGGGAGGCCAGAATGTCACATTGTGTTAGATTCCCTTAATGGACACTAAGTGGTGCTCTTGGCTAGGGATGGGTGGTTGCTGGAGGATGGGTGCTGACTATCTCTTAGAGGGGATGTCACACAATTAGCCATCTAAACAGATAAAGTATTTAAAAGCTGTGGGTCCTTAGCTTGGGGTGGGAGCACTGCAGAATGTTTAATCAACCATCTGTGTCTTCTCTCTCTTAGAACATTCCAATTCCAACCCTGAAGGAATTTGCGAAGGCTCTGGAAACCAACACTCACGTAAAGAAATTCAGCCTGGCTGCAACCCGCAGCAATGACCCTGTGGCGATTGTGAGTAAAATTCTTAGAAATATAACATGAAAATATTTAATTCATTAGCAACTGTTTTTTTCTTCCCTGAGGAAGATTCGCCCTAAGCTAACATCTGTTGTCAGTCTTCCTCTATTTTGTATGTGGGCCACTGCCACACATGGCCACCGACAAGTGGTGTAGGTCCACGCCCAGGAACAGAACCCAGGCCACTGAAGCATAGTGTGCTGAACTTAACCACCAGGCCATGGGGCTGGCCCTCATTAGCAACTATTTTTAATTTGTTTTATCAAATAATAATTTTTAGAGCTGATAAATTTATTTTCTACACAGTTAATAAAGACAAAATTAGTTATAATGAGACAGTAGAACAGAACCCAGCTGTCAAGCACTTTGAATTAACTGGAATTTTGTTAGCACTACACTTTTACGAGAAAGAAAATATTACATTAGGCATTTACCTAAGTAAATATTTAGATTTTGTTCTGTGCTTAGTACAAATTTTCTGAAACTTTTACATCTACAGTAACATTCTGTCACAATCAGTGGATATTATAAGACCCCCAAATCCTACAGGAACTCAGCACATATAAAAATCTTAAAGCATATTTCATTTTAATCTTTGAAATGGATTAATGTTTCAAAATATTTTACCAACCAAATCTTGAAACATTTTTTATTTTACATTGTTAACCAGAATATGAAAAAAAAAAAAAAACAACCAAAAGCTCTTTTCCTTCTATGCATTTTAGATCATTCAGCTAAATAAGGAAGCCCCTTGACCCAAGTAAATACTACTACCATCACCATCATCAGTGTTATTCCTCCTATTAATAGCTAACATTTCTTGAGCAATTAGTAAATGCCAGCACTGATCTCTGTGCTTTATACACGTCATCTCACCTAATCCTCACTATAATACGATGAGCTATGTACTATTATACATACTTTAACAAATGAGCAGTCTGAGGCTCAGAGAGGTTAATGAACTTTCCAAGGTAACATAGCCAGAAAGCAGCAAAGCCAGGATTCACCAACAGATCTTTCTGGCTCCACAGCCACGATACTTAACTATCAAGCTATGCTATATTTGCACACAGTGCCTCACTATCATACATTTGCTAAAATATGTTACTTATTAGGAGCCTGAGCATCAGCCTGTGGTTCTACAGCATCTAAGCTCAGCCCTTGAATCGAGCTAGAAAAACAAAAGTTTTCTTGACTTGATGATGTGATTTAAAGTAAGACGTCTTTTGGAAGATCTAAAATACCGTTAAAAACAGACAACATGAAAGTCATGACTATCTGTTACAGTGCTGGCACAGAGTAGATGTGTGAAGAATGTTTGTTGAATGAATGTGCCCTCCAGCCTCTCAGCAATAGAGAATATTTCCATGATGACGAGAACAAACTTGAAATGAGCACTGAAAACAGAGGGACTAAGCTACAAAACTGATGTTTTCACCAGCAGTTATTACATATCTAAATTTGTAGGTTGAAAGCAGTTTTGAATCTGAAACCTATCATTAAAATACAAAAAGAGCAGAACAAGATCGTTGGTAATGTGAAATTAGCAATTTAAAGGTTCTCATCTGTTATGTATATGATTTTGTATAATCTCTGCCTTTTAGTAGATTTGTTTTCAATAAAGCAAAAATATTCACAATACGTTTTGTATGTGAGTGACTAAAGGGATGAATAAAGAAATGATTTGTCACTCCTATTTAATATGTTATTTACAGTAAAATGGCAGGCATAGGAATAGTCCATTGTCAACACTACTAGTAAATAATCTACGTTCTACTCTAGGTCAAATAGATAACTTGCTAAGTGAATTAAATAAATTCCAAATATAATAATCTCTTTGATACTGTTTTTAAGGTGACAGCTGTGTGTTGAATGCATACCATGTGACAAGCACACCATACAATTGTGAGGAACAATTACTATCCTTAAAGATATGAAGAGAAGAGCCTCTTTCACCCTCATGCCTACATGGTCCAGCGCTCACCTGGCTGCCCCCAGAAGGTTCCCCTTTCACTATGCCATTGTCAGGAAAGAACTTTTCTGTAGGTTGAAAATTGGTTCATTACCCCACAGGCAATAGAGATCTTCACACTGGGTTTATGGCTGAACAACTCGCTTTTGAGAAGTAAAAGTCAGCATTAAAGCAAAGAGCTTCAAGAGACTTTTCTATTTAAGGTTGAGAAACAGATTCAACTAAGCACTTGCCGGATTATGGTGAACGTAGACCAGCTATGTGTGTGTGAGATGGCATTATTCCCATTTTACAGATGAGGCAACTGAGGCTCAGAGAGGTTGAGTAACAACTAAGATAACACAGCATGTGGCCAAGCCAGGAAGCAAATTTAAATGACCTGTAATCAAGTTCAGTTCATCATGCCCCAAGCACTTCCATATAACCACATCTGTAGCAGTGAATATTAATGGAACTTGCCCCCACTGAATGCTAATGTAGAGAAAAGGCCCAAATTTGTAAAAAATGATATTGTTATTAACAATGATGCCACGGAAAAATCAAGAGTTTAGGGGGCCGGCCTGGTGGCATAGCAGTTAAGTGCACGCACTCCGCTTCAGCAGTGGCCGGGGATTTGCAGGTTCGGATCCTGGGCGTGCACTGACGCACCGCTTGTCAAGCCATGCTGTGGCAGCGTCCCATATATAGTAGAGGAAGATGGGCACAGATGTTAGCCGAGGGCTCAATCTTCCTCAGCAAAAAGAGGAGGATTGGCATCGATGTTAGCTCAGGGCTAATCTTCCTCACACACAAAAAAAAAAATCAAGAGTTTAGGACAGCACTGTCCAATAGAAATAAAATGTAAGCCACATGTATAATTTTAAGTTTTCTAGTAGCACATTAAAAAACAAAAAGAAATAGGTGAAATTAATTTTAATATTTTTTAAACCAATACATCCCAAATATTATCATTTCAAAATGTAGTTTGAAAATGTCATGAGGTATTTTACATTATTTTTTTCATGCTACGTCTTTGAAATCCAGTGTGTGTTTTATATTTCCAGCACGTCTCAATTCAGACCAGCCATTTTTCAAGGGGTCAATAGCCACGTGTGTCTTGTGACTACCATTTGGTGGCACAGGTCTAGACAGTGCAGGAAACTGCATTTCCATACAATGCTGTAAAGTACAGAAAGCAAAACCTTCTCTTTAAAAATCTATTTCTACTCTAATTATTTATATAACAGTTAAGAAATCTCGTCTTTGTTTTACTAATGTTATTATCCCCAGCACATGTAATAGATGCTCAAATATTTGCTGAACTGAAATGAACTTGGGCTGACAGCCCAGGGTTATGTTTGGCTGGGTCTCTCCTATTTTGTTCGGTATGAGAAAAGTGTTTTCTCAAGTTTAAAAGAAATTGGCAAGATCCTGGCTACTTGCCAGGAGGTCCTGCAACTTTTTGTAAAGGCCTAATTGCTATGACATTTTGTTATTCTAATAATGAAAGTAAATCCCAAAGCTTGGAGTGTCTGTAAGGAAAGGCCTGATGCATTCCCTTCTGGTGCTCTAATTAAAATGTGTACATTTAATTCTAATTAAAGACCTAGAACTAAATAAATGCACTTTAATTTACATGGTGTACAATAATGTCAGTCCAAATTTTTGAGCTTTCTTTGTAGTTCAAGCAAATGCTTGACTAATACACAGAATTATTCTTCTAGTCCAGTGGTTCTCAACTCAGGGCAGTTTTGCCCTCCAGGGGAGATTTGGCAGTGTCTGGAGATATTTTTGGTTGTCGTGACTGGGAGGGGTACTTCTGGTGTTTAGTTGGTCTCACAGGCTGCTAAACCACAGGACAACCTCCCACAACAAAAAATTCTCTGGCCTCAAAGGGTGCCGAAGCTGAGAAGCCCTGTTCTTGTTCCAAGTTGGATTCCTTCTCTTCTTCCTTCTTCCTTCCTTCCTCCTTATTGTGTTTCCACCGTAAACACAATGAAGATAGTTTAGAAGTCCCTTGTTCTAGTCCCCAGAGCAATCACTATTAGCAGTTTGTTATTCATTCTTCTCGTTGTTGTCTTTATGACTTTAATTAAAGTGGCTGTCAATCCTGGCTGAACATCAGTCACCCTAGAGAGCTTTTCAAAAATGCAACTGTCCAGGTCACAGCCCGAGATTCTGATTTAATTCAGCTGGGGTGGGGCTGAAGTATTAGTATATTTGTTAAGGCTCCCAGGTCATTCTAATGTGTAGCCAGGGTAGAAAAACACTAATATACATACAACCTAATTTTTAATTTAGCATCTTAGGTAATTTTTGAGTCTTCATTAGAACAGATAAGGGCAGTTCTATACTCACTTTGCCTTCTCTCTCTCCTTCTTCTACCTCCAAATTGTAGTTATATTATTATTTTCACACATTTGAGATTTATACATTTTATGTCATCATATTCTATGTTATGTGTATAACTGACGCCAAAAAATTAAAACTTATCACCAGCACTTACAATTATCTAGCTATATAAACATGTAAATCTCTGTTCTCATGGCACTTACAGTCTAGTGACTAATGCTGGTCTGATTCTTGTTCCTTTATGAGAAACTTATTTTTTCTTGCTAGAAACTTTTGGGACCGTCTCTTTTCCCTTGAAGTTGTGAAATTTCGCTTGTATGTGCCCACTTATGAGTCTTTTTTATTCATTCCACTGAGCATCCAGTGGGTTCTTTCAGATAAAGATTTGTTACTTTCTTCAACTCTGGGAAATCTATTATTTTGTAGTTTCTTCCTTTGTGTTGTCCTCCAGAAACTCAATTAGATAAATGTTGAACTTCTGTATCTTTGCCTCCACTTTTCTTAACATTTCTCTTATATTTTCTATCTCTTGGCTTTTTTTTTTTTTTTTTTTTTTTGTGAGGAAGATCAGCCCTGAGCTAACATCCATGCTAATCCTCCTCTTTTTGCTGAGGAAGACCGGCTCTGAGCTAACATCTATTACCAATCCTCCTCCTTTTTTTTTTTCCCCCAAAGCCCCAGTAGATAGTTGTATGTCATAGTTGCACACCTTCTAGTTGCTGTATGTGGGACGCGGCCTCAGCATGGCCGGAGAAGTGGTGCTTGGTGCGCACCTGGGATCCAAACCCGGGCCACCAGTAGCAGAGCACACACACTTAACCTCTAAGCCACGGGGCCGGCCGTATCTCTTTGTCTTTTAACTCTACATTCTTGGAAATACGCTCAGCTTTATCTTCTAACTCACCCGCTTGGTCTTCAGCCATGCTTATTTTGTAATTCTGGATGTCCATTACTTTTCTTTATTTCAATGTAATGTTTTAAATTTTCAAATCATTTTCTTGTTCTTATTCCTCTTTTTTTCCCATAATAGTACTTATTTTATGGACACAATGTCTTTTCTTTCTTTTTCTTTTCTTTTTTTTTTTTTTGGTGGGAGAGAGGAGAGAGAGAATAATTAGAACTTTTACATTTCTGTTCCCTGAATAATCTCTGTTCCCTCAATGGCATGTAATACTGTTTGGTCAACCTGACTTTTCTCTTTCTTGATGCCAGTTTTCCTAGTATGTCTGGCAATCGTTGGTTGCTTGTTCATGTTTCTGAATAGAGAACAAGGTTGGTGTGTGTAAACCAGGATCATTTCCTCTGTAGTTCGGTAGGTCTGTTTCACCAACAGTCCTTTCCCTTAAAAGGGAGACCCTTTTATCTTTCTCCATTTGTCCCCGTCTGACAGGCTATATATTTTATTTATTAAATACTGACTCTGCCCTCCTGCTCAAATATAAGCTCCCTAGGACAGGTACATAGTAGAAGCCCAGTAAATAGTCTTTTTTGAATGAATGAATAAATGAATGAATGAGCGCTCTTGTAAGCAGGCAGGTGAATTGACTGGCAGCCACCTGTGTAGTGTGTGTTTGGGGAGCTGGCGGACAGCCTGGGAGTCCCCGCCAGTGCTCCAGTTAGGAGGGCTTCATGCTGGAGGGTACATTTCAGTAGATTTCATTCCAGGGCGTGGCTGCCCCTCCCCTCCTTGCTCCCTCGCTGTATCTGGTGGATGGTCTGGAGGTGCCTCCGTTTCTGCACTGCTGCTCTCTCAGGTCCTAGCACCCTCACCAGAGGCTCTTCCAGGGAGATTTTTCATCGACGGTTGTGCTGGCAGTTGCTCTTTTTCGGGGAATCCGCAGAGAGGGGGGGTGTACTCTCCATCTACTCTGGCTCTTGCATCTGTTGCTCAGGCCGTTCTGTAATGAGATGCCTCCCTTGAGACTTACCTCTGGCATCTTAGGCAACTTGGTGCTAATTTCTCAACCAGTCTTTCTATTTTCTGTATTTTAGCAATTCTTCAAGATAATGGCCCTCTTTTTTTTGTTGTTGTTTTCTTGCACTGTGAGAGTTCCAGTTGCTTCAAAATTCTGTCTTTTCTTCATGAAGTGGGAAACTTTGAGGGCAAGGGGGGCAGACAGGTGCATGTGTGCAGTCTGCCGTCTTGAACGGGGAGTCGCCAGTGGGTTTGCCCCTCTGAGTGGTGATTTTGTTCCGAAAGTATCTTTGAGGAATTCTGATTTATACATGACCTGAAATTATATGACTAAATCAGTAGTGCTCTAATGCTCATCAATGGTAGTTTTTTATCCATTCATAGTAAAAGGGACAAAATAAAATAATTCTGAGATTATATCCTTTCTACATTTTTCCTACTGTTAAAATGCCTTTTCTAAAAAAATTGACAATGATAACAGATGATAGTGGGTTTTTTTTTTTTTAATGTCCTTATTTAACAAAACAAAGTTGGTAATCCTACATCAGTGTCTTTTTTTTTTTCTTTGTTTTAGTTTTGCAGGTATGTGAAATTCCTAAGTCTGGGCTGCTGGACTAAACTATTTTTATTGCAGTTTTAAATTATTATCTTTGTTGCTTGGAGGAGAAAGTGTGATTTAACTAAGGTTTTCTTTAAGTACTGTAAAAGATATCTAATTAATTTGGGAGTGGGTAGTTCAGTAAATAAATCTTTAGAAACTCTAATGGTTATTTCTTTTTTGTATAATAAGGCTTTTGCAGATATGCTGAAAGTAAACAAGACCTTGAAAAGTCTAAACGTAGAATCCAATTTTATCACTGGAACTGGGATCCTGGCCCTGGTGGAGGCACTGAGAGAAAATGACACCTTGACGGAGATCAAGATCGACAACCAGGTGAGCTGACTCATGGGAACCTGTGAAAGGGGGCCTGCCACAGTGGAGTGAGTTGAAGACAATGTTCTGTGACTGGATTTGATGCTCTGGCTCTCCTGTAAATTATAACAGCTTCTGGCCTGTGGAGGGTGTGGGAGAGCATGTTAATAATTAAACAATGCACAGTGGGGCATCCTGAAACAGAGAGAGCCAGCTTTCCACAGCCCTGGGCTAGTCAGGCACCAGAGGAGAAAGAGAGGAGGTGGGAGCAGAGGGGTTGACAGCTGCTTTGTTCAGCCATCATCACTGTTGCTTCTTAGTGGGATTCTCAGCCCAGTCCTGTCCCAGACTTGCTGTGGCCTCTTACTGGGCCTGTGGCTACAAGGAGAAAGCAGAGTGGCTACGCCCAAAGACATACTCCTTGTCCTTGGTTGGAGGCTGCCAGAGCCGAAAGAAAGAGTGGGCCCGGGCTCCTGCAGTCTGGTGCTGGCCACATAGCATATTTCAAAGAATCCAGATCTAGAAGATGGTCTGGCTTACAGTAGCAGGCCACATCCACAGAGCAATCACAATCTCAACTCTGTCGCTGCATTTCTCAGGTTCCCATCAACAGCCAAAGCCAGCTGCTTTTCCCTGGAGCCGCCACTTCCCGCACCTCTTTTTCCCAGCATCAGCCTGCAGTGCCTTTGGCGTTGCTCTGCAGGCTTCAACTGGCTCCTGCCCAGAGACAGCAGGTCTCAGTTCTTAGCGTGATGCTGTGCCCTGCCCCTTTGGCTACAGGGAAGTGTCTGCAATGGGATTCAGTGAATCTGAGGAGTCTAGATACTGGATAGTAGGAAGAAAGGGCCCTGGAATGGAGCAGAAAGAGGAGAGAGCAAGGAGACTTGTGCTGTGAGCATTCCCTTGTGGGGTGGAGGGAGGGACAGTGGGGGAAATGCCTGGTGAGAGTGCCCCCCCACGTGTCTGGGAAATTCCCTGGTCTAGACCCTCCAAGATCTGATAAAGCACCACGTCCCACTCAGGACTTTTGCCTAAGCCTGGAGATCCGCAGCAGGTCCCATGAACAGCTCTACTCTCCGTTTTTGCTAACCAGGACAAGCAGGTCCTCTGTCCCTGTACTCCTCCCGAGGCTTGTGGCCAGGGCAGCAGGGGAGCCCCACCAGGAGACACACGCTCCTTCACTCACACCCTGCCCGGAAGGGATGCATCACCAGGACCATACACACTCAAGGGAAGCTTGATGCTGTGTACCCTGGTCTGAGTCCAGCTGCTAGTAAATTAAGAAAGAGTCATCAAGGAGTGGGAGAGTAGAAAAACAAGGTAGAGAGAAATATGAACTGGGCAAAAAGAAGTGATAGCTCAGGGATATTTATTGAATGGACTAGTTTCAGGAAGAAGTTAAGAGGGCTCCTAGTTAATATCTCAGGAGATTTAAGACAGAAGTGGGTACCTTATTCCAAAATATATTTATATTTTTGTGTTGGTTTAGGCTATAGTGAAACCCCATATCCGAAATAATGTTCCAGACACTCTATTCCTAGTTCCTTGTAAGATACCACCTAGTTAGGGTTGCCAAATAAAATACAGTTAAACTTGAATTTCAGATAAACAACGAATAATTTTTAGTATAAATATGTCCTATGAAATATTTGGGACATACTTATACTAAAAAATTGTTTGTTATTTATTGAAATTCACATTTAACTGAGTGTCCTGTCTTTGTATTTGCTAAATGTGGCAACCTTATACTAGTGAATGAACTGAAATCCTAAAAATTTAGAATAGAGCAGCTTTTTATAATGCATATGAAGACCCTGAACTACAAAGTCTGAACTTGCTCTCTTAAATCTCCTCTGAATCATCCTCATCAGCCCTCCTCAGTCATCTAGGAATGGGTTTGTGCAATTTTTCAACTTCAGTCCCCCAATATGCCTCTGAAATGGCTTCTCTTGTGACAAAAAAGGATTAAGTTCTAGATCAATTGGAAAAATTCTTTGCTTTATACTGAGAATGACGAAATTCAGAGACAAAACTTGTCTTCCATCCAAATTTTATTAACTCATAGGCTATTAGAAGTAAACCTCAGTTTCCTCATCTGTCTAATGAAGAGTTTGAAATAAACTAATCTCTAAGTTTCCTTGGGCAGGACGAGCAGCTGAGACCAATTTAGCATCATTGCAGCAGACAGCTGCAGCAAAGTGAGGCCCTGCTGAGAATTTATCACTGGGGCAGGCTGCTGCCTAGGCTCCCCGTGAATACATAATTATTTCATCAGGTGCCCCTGTGAGAAGAACAATCGGTGACGCATATTAATGAAACGGATGGGTAACTGCTAAATAAATTTGATTAGAGAAAAGAGGTTACTTTAAAAAAAAAAAAGTGATCTGAAGAAATGTATGCTTAAACTTTTGTTTCTTTTTTTTTCCTTTGTATTTAGTGACTTAAAATAAAAAAGAGAAATATATCCAAATTATCAGAAATTTTGGTGCCCTTTTGGTGCCCTGGGTTTATACAACACATAAGACCTCAAATCAAAAACAAAGACTCAGGAGCCAGCTCTGATGGCCTAGCAGTTAAAGTTCAGCGCACTCACTGCTTCACCGGCCCAGATTCGTTTCCCGGTGGCGGAACCACACCACCCCTCTGTTGGTTGCCATGTTGTGGCTGCGACTCACACAGAAGAACTAGAACAACTTACAACTAGGATATACAACCATGTACTGGGGCTTTGGGGAGAAAAAAAAAAAAAGAGGAAGACTGGCAACAGATGTTAGCTCAGGGTGAATCTTTCAAAAGAAAAACTAAGGCTGAGGAAGAAAGATGCCCTGTTATATTATTTTCTCCTCTTCTTATATATGCCCCACTCCCAATAGAATTTTCTTCAACTCCTACATCTTTTATATAGCCAACAGCATGCCCATCCTGCATGTTACCCAAGTAGGGGACTCCAGATACTTGAGATTTGTGAGGGGAAGTTAAGAGACTTTTATCTCTTCTCTCCCAGTCAGCCCCATCCACATGAGCTCCTTCGGCCCTTGGATAGCACCACTTTGGCCCAGTCCAGGGGCATAAGTCATAGCTATGGCAGCCCGACCTTAGCTCAGATCTCAGTCCTTAATATACTCTCACTGTTCTAAAGTGTGTCATGAGCTAGAACTGCTCAAGAAACTGTGAGGTCAGTATCTTTTATTTTTTTGCTCCCTCTCCCTCCCATAGAACTGCATTGCTTAGAACCCTAATCTCTGCACTGTGGATACCCAGAATTGTTATTGTGTGACTGGAAAGACCACATTTGTTAGTTTCTTAGGGAGAGGCTCGTTTGACAGGTTCCTGGATGAAAAGAAAGAAGAGGAGCAGAATTAAGCCTTAGAACTTGCCTAGAACACGAAAGTTCCTCCATAAACTTTTCTCCTTCATCTACTCAATACTTAAGTTTTCCAAATTTAAAAGGTATATTTTAAAAATATATATCATAATGCAATCAAAATTGCATGGTACTGGCACAAAAATAGACTTGACAGAGCAATAGAGTCCAGAAACACATCTGAATACACCTGAGAATTTTGCAGCAAAGTAGTATTTCAAGTCCGTGAGGGAGGAACAAAGTGAAAGATGGTGGGACAATTCACTAGCATTTTGGAACAAAATTGTTGGCCTTCTATCTTAATTCTTATACTAAAATTCATTCCAGATGAAGTGAAGATTTAAATATTAAAATATACAAAATCATAAAACAAATGGAAGAAATCAGAAGGAGTAGAGAGTCTTCCTAAACATGGCATAAAATCTAGGAGATTCATAAATTTAAGCCTATGAAAATGAAGAAAGTCTTTATAGTAATCAAAAAGAAAATCAAAAGACAAACTGAGCAAAGTATTTTCAGCACATTTGACAAAATGGCTAATTTCTTAATATATAAGAAACTTAAAAATAAATTAAAAAAAAACAAAAACAGGAACCCTAAGCTGGTAGAAAAATGGGAAAATGACAGAGATTGGTAGTTTCCAAAAAGAGAAATACAAATGCATAAGAAAATTAATTGTTCTTATTGATAACTTAGGAAATGCAAGTTAAACAATTAAATAAATACAGGTGAAATTTAAATTTTGACCTATTGGATTGGCAAAGATGAAAAAGATGATAATGTTGGCTAGGGTAGGGCAAGCAATAACTCTCAAAAACTGTTAGCAGGAGTAAAGATTGTCATAACCTTTGAAGGTAAGTCAGTAATATAGCAAAATCTGAAACATGCCTACTCTTGAACTCAGCTATAATTTGCCCTAAAGGAACACTTGCAGGAATGCCCCCAGGATGTACTGTGTGTGCGAGGGAAGTTCACGGAAACATTGTAGGAATGGAAAACAATGTAACAGGCAGTCAGTTGGGCCTAGCTAAATAAATTATTCTCCATGACTACAGTGGAATGCTGTGCAGCTATTTATAAGGATGAAGTAAACATATATTTACCTACATGAAAAGGTGTTCTTAATGTTAAATGAAAATTAAAAACGTTTCAGAACAATATGCTTTTATGTGAAAAAAGCATAGGTGTACATGTGATTATGTAGACATATGCATGCATAGAAAATGTTTAAAAGACTACATACTACTTGCCAAACTGGCTTTCTCTATAGGGAATGGAATATTGGGGGCAGGGAGCTTTTATATTTTACACACTTTCTTGTTTGCTTTTTCTGGATAAGCCTGTACTTTTTACTTTAAAAAATTTAATGAATACGTTATGAAAAAATATACTATGTCCTTTAAATTTAATTTTAAATTCCTGTATTTACATGCCCCATTTTTTTTAAAAACCCTACTTTTAATTTTTTTTTATTCTATCTGTCAACTTAAAGAACAAACAAACAGAGGTCAGCCCCATGGCATACCGGTTGGGTGCACGCGCTCCACTGCTAGCAGCCCGGGTTTGGATCCTGGGCGTGCACCAATGCGCCGCTTGTGCAGCCATGCTGTGGTGGCATCCCCTATAAAGTGGAGGAGGATGGGCACAGATGTTAGCCCAGAGCCAGTCTTTCTCAGCAAAAAAAAAAAAAAGGAACAAACAAACAAAAGATCTCTTTCTACCAACTTAAAAAACTTGAAGAGGGGCTGGCCCAGTGGCATAGTGGTTAAGTTCGCATTCTCCGCTTCGGCTGCTCAGGGTTCTTGGGTTCAGATCCCGGGCGAGGACATATACACTACTTATCTAGCCATGCTGTGGCAGGCGTCCCACATATAAAGGGGAGGAAGATGGGCACGAATGTTAGCCCAGGGCCAATCTTCCTCAGCAAAAAGAGGAGGATTGGCAACAGATGTTAGCTCAGGGCTAATATTCCTCACAAAAAACCCAACCAAACAAACAAACAAAAAAATCACCCTTTGTTTAAACCAGAGATACTGGGATAAATTAGAAACACCAAATATTAGTTTTGCTTTAATTTTACACCTGGAATCATTTTTTCCTTCCTAAATAATTTGCATAGTCTTTTCAGTTTAGCACGCCGACAGATTTGGCTACTGTTGGATTTTGCTTCTAGACAAGGAGCAAGTCTCAAATGACAGTAGGGGAGAAAATATCTCAAGTGACTTTGTCCCTTTCAAATTGAGACTTTTGCCTCTTTGCCTTTTTGTCCAACAAGTAGCCATGCATCTTTCCCATGCAAGTAACTGTGTCCTCTTCCTTCTTGGTGGTCTTGTGTATGTGTCCACACCTGCAACCAGAGACAGCAGTTGGGAACAGCCGTAGAGATGGAAATTGCCCAGATGGTGGAGGAGAATTCAAGGATCCTCAAGTTTGGATACCAGTTTACCAAGCAAGGACCACGAACAAGGGTGGCAGCTGCCATCACAAAGAATAATGACCTGGGTAATGCAGCCTTAACATGTGCTGTTAGCAATTAGAGGAGCATGATGACCATTCATTTCTCCACTTCAGATATAACATCACATACCATTCCACTGGCCTCTGGTGTCAGCCCTTCATGAAGGGCACATTATTCCATGGTCATAGGAATCCTCAACTTCATAATGTTTAAGTTTTATTGTAGCATTCTCTCAAAAAGAACCATTTGTTCTTTTTTCTAGACAGCCTTTGATTTTTGCTTGATTTCCTCTGGGTATTTGCTTTTCCTTTACTTCTTACATGTAACCATCTTCTGTTGTTATCTGTACCAGAAGATGGACTCAGTGATGTGGAAATTCCCAGTTCACTTCTGTTTGACTCATGACTATGCTTTTGTACTTGGGTTAAATATGGTTACATCTGATACCTTGGTGATTTATGTGTGAAATAAACAAATGGAGCTATGTTATGAAGGTTGAACTCAGAAGTAGCTTTTTCGGTTAGCCCCCCTTTAATCTTTCCCGCTGCCCACTCCTTGCTGAGGATCCATGGCATTTCTTCTGTTAGGGTGAGGTGGAGCATGTCCTGGTCAATCACAGAACAGAAGAATGAGACAGATTGGGAAGACTTGTCTAGGGACATCCCAGCCACCTGGAGCAGCGTGGCAAAAGGACATCCAGGAGCCGACAGTCCACTGGCAAGCAGTCAGCCAATAGCAGACCTCAGTCCCCAGTTTGAGGTTCAGGGACAGAGTGCCAGGCCTTGGACAGGGGAACTGGGCAAAGTGTTCCACCAGGTATAGTGCTGGCCATGGGGAGGATTCAGATCGTGGACAAGATGGAAACTAAGAGTTAGAACCAGAAGGGGGCAGGTAAAGGTTAGTGTCCAGTTCCCTGCCCAGACATGCTTAGCCAAGACCCCGAGGCCCAGCCAAGGTACAATGTGTGGCCTCCAGAGGCTAGCCAGGCATATGGCAGTGCTTGCCTTGGGGGTGCCGAGGGTGAGGCTTAGGGGACAGCCCAGCAAACAGGGCTTTGGGAAAGGGTAGAGGCAGCAGTCAGAAAGTGCCTAGGAAAAGCACATTAGGTCCACAGCTGAACAACACAGAGACCAAAGAAAAAGAGGCAAAATAAGAGGTTTGAAGTAAACAGGCAATCCTGAGCCCAAGAGCAGCAGCCTTGGGCAACAGCTTTGGTCAAATTTTCTGCAGCCTAGGCAGGAGCAGGCTGGGCTATTTAAAGTGGAGAGTTGGGGCAGGACCACAGCCAGGGTACCTTTTTGCCAAATCCACGAAGGTTAGAGTAGCTGTCTTCCTCTTGACCAGGAGAAGTTGCAGGTGGGGAGGTGGAAGTGGGAAGAAATGGGTTGCAGAAACTGGGAACAGGCAGTGGGGGCAACTTCTTTGATACTAAGTACCCGCTTAAGGGAACCTTCATCTCTGAGTTTGCTTGCCATCTGAATCATGCCTTCCTTGGAGGTTGATACTTTAGGAGATTTTATTTAAAACAGGTTTAGAAACTTTGAACTTCTGTTTGCAGCTCCTCCTGGTCTTCAAGCCATCAGCAGAATTAATAGATTGTGCAAGTGTCGTCTGGGAGTTAAAGCCAGTTGGTGAATGAGTTGCACAGAAGCTGAGATGTTCTATGGATAAGTGACCATGAAAATATTTAGAAGTTCACTGTTTCATAGGTCTATTCTAGACCTTCTACTCCCTAGAAATGGGAAAGTTCTAACATTCAAATTCCCAACTATCAGACATAGCTTTATTTAAATGTAAATTCCACAAGATATTGGATTATTCTGTCATTTCCATTTATTGCCCTGGGTGATTGGGATTGAAATTTAAGATAACTGTAACCTCAAGTGTGGGATTGCTATTATGTGTGATTAATGTTGTTTGTCTTAAATTTAAGGAATATTCCTTCGCTTTGTCTTTCTAAACCTTTCTTTCTTTCTTACCTAGTTCGTAAAAAGCGAGTTGAAGGAGACAGAAGGTAAACTTCACAAGAAGAGGCGAAGTTTCACCATGGTGGCAATTTAAAAACAAACAAACACTCTTCTCCTTCCCCATTGGGACCATTTTATCGAAGGTCATTCATTTCCGTTAATCACACAACTAATAATTTAATTGTTATTCTTTTTTAGCACTACTTATTTATCTTGGATTTTTTAACATATATAATGTTTTATTTGCTCATGGGCACCTCTGGCAACTTGCACCAGTGGACTTGTGCAGATCTTAGTGGGTGACAACAGTTGAAAATGATTTAACCACTTTCATATTGAGTTGTCTTGCTTTCTTGTATGAACTTTTTTTTTTTAACCACTGAAAGGAATTTAGTATATAAATATGTTTGTAACTCTGATTATGATAGAGGCCTATCTCTGTTTACATGAATAACTTTGAGTTAGGCTAAATATATCAGAAGTGTTCTGCTGACCACATAAGAAGTTAGTATTGCCAATCTTTCACTGGGTGAGAAAATGTGAGCAACTTAGCACAAATTCTCCCTTAGTTCTAGAAAAATCACTAAATGCACATGGCCCACTGATTGAAGATCAGTGGTGTCATCTTCCTAAAAGCAAGACAGCATTATGATACTTTAACACAGCATTAGCAAATAAGTATAAAATATTTATTAACCCACAACTATAGCTTCAAGCCAGACTCACAGGTAGCAAAATGAATTAGCACACCTACCGTTATTGATTATTCAACATAAATTTCGTCTTTAACATCACTCTGTGGATAACTTTTTACAAAGCTGTTTTGAAGTTTTCCAGACATGATGGGAAATTTTAAAATTTTAGTAAGAGGGAGGCTTTTAAAACAGTACATTCCTAAATAAAACAATAATAATTGCACCTTCAGGTTGTCTGATTCACATGATTACATTATTTTGGCAAATTTTAGAAGTATCTATTGCTTTATCTTTAGTGTATGTAATAAGATCACAGGATGAAATGTGAACATTCAAGTTAATTGTATCAGATTTTTGTCCACATGGAGTGATCCATCCAGATATTTGCAAACATCAGGAAAAAATGTGAATGATCACTTATGCAGATGTTTGTCATCTCAAGGATAAAGCCCATAAAAGTACAACCGAAATGATTGTATGGTAGTCTGCGTTAATCTTGTCACCCAGCGGTGTGACAGTGCAGTGCTCAGCGAAGGAAGCGTGACTGCAGCCTTTGGCTCAAGCTCACATGTCTTTGATAACCATCAGTGCCTGAGGCTGTAATTGGTGGCACTCTGACACTGGCTTCTCACCTCTCCCTCCCTTCCCCTATTCCTTCCTTCCACCTCTCTCTTTTTTCTTCTTTTCTCTGTCATTCTGAGCCGTGGTAAAGGTGACAGCTCTTCTGCTGGTGACAACTGGAGCTAAAGAGATTGCTGGCTCAGGCGGAAGGTGGGCCCAATCCAGAATTTGTTTAGTAATTGAATGTTCCTGAGTTGCTTGATAGCAATAAAATGAGTTAATGGGAAAATAATTCATATATTAGTCTACTTAGCTTATAGAAAACTGTTTAGGATAGATAGCCTTTATAAAATTGGCCATTTGCCTATAAGTACCCACATCTGTATCTCTAAAATCCTTTGAAACATCTCATTTTCTTGAGAATATTTTACACTTTTTGAGGGAATAATGAGCAGAACATGTTGACATTTTGGAACCCTAAAAATTCTTTAATTAGTTTTCTACTACAACTCCCTATCTATATAAAAAAAAATAGTAGATATTATTTGATGGTTTTCAGTCTTACTTTTCCTTCCCTCTTACTCATTTAGGTGTGGTATATTGGAGCTGACTCATACAGGCTTATCAATTATTGAATTTCAAGAATTTTGCAAACTAGTTGTAAACACAGCCATTATTAAAAATTAAATGACATACGCTTACAGTTAAATACGTTATGTTAAAAACAAAAGTAATACTTAAAAATACATTTTACTGTTTTCTGTGCTCTTGAGATTATTTGCATCTATTGTGTCTGTATGGCAGAAATACTACATAATGGTGTACTATTGTACATCTCTTCCCAACTCAGAAGTTCAGCGCTTCTTATTGGTAGTTTGAAATTGGCCATGGTGGGAGTATTTATACCATGGAAATTAGCAAATGTTACAAATCAGGGCTTTCGCCCCCTCAGGTTGCTGCTTGATAAACATTCATTAGCACACCACTGGGTGAAATGTATACAATTGTTTTTTTGTATACGTTTTGGTTACCATGTTGCCAAAGGGAAGAACATTTCTCTTAGGTGTCTTTCTTCTCTGCTTTAGATTTGTTGCAGATATGTTTCAGTGCTGAGTCCCTAACATGCCCCTCCAAGTAAGGCTTCTTCCTTTCTTTTCTCATTCACTCTCTTTCTTGCCTTCATCCCTAAGAAACCTTGGATCCTACAGAGTATTCTTTACAGCCCCACGGTGCTGTGGACTGGAGCTAAAGCAGTTACTACCTAACAAACCCTGGCAGAAAGCAAGGCAAAAAAGTCAGAATTGGATAGTGACTGTACTGCAGTTGTTAGCAGTATTAAAACAAGATAATGGGGCATTATCAAAATTTAGCGCTGTTTTTAGCTTGTAAAATAGTTGGGTCACATGTAATAGAGTCTGTGAAATCAAATATTTATTGCTAATCTGTTTATCTTATCGTTATCTGTGTTTTTAAAGTAGCTTCAAGGGTTGCATTTCCACGAGTATTCATATATATATATATATATAT